CCTTTCTGAGATGTTTGGGTAACTTTAATACATTTATTTAAGATGTTTGGTTTGGTTTGGTTTTCCATGTGTATTTAAGATAGGAATTAATGGAAGTGATACACATACTACTCACCTCAGTAGTCAAAATGGATAGGAAAATGGAGACGTGGGTGAGAAGGTTGAGTTTTTATCCCACATGATAAACATAGCTAAATTCCACTTGTTAGATATCAATTCAATTAATTATTATATTTTTGTATGATGTATTTTGACGAATTATGAAATTTTAAAAGAAATAAAATTTTAAAAATTTGTACTCTAAAATAAGTCAATATATTATCTCATTACAGATAAAATAAATGTTTAAAGTTAAATTAATTCTAAATAAAAAAAAGAAATTGATAGGTTATTTAGGATAGAATCAAGGGAAGTGATATACATATTACGCAACTCAGCAGTCAAAAACAGTGGATAGGAAAATAAAGACGTGGATGAAAAAATAAAAGAAAAATGCTGACGTGGATGTTAGAGACGGTTTGAGTTTTTCATCCACATGATAAACATTGCCAAATTCCAAATTTGGAGTTTGGGATATAATAATCAATTATTTTATCTAACTTTAGATGTGTAAAGTTATATTCGTGTGATTTATGGGTGTGATTTATAGATTATGGGTGTGAGCCGTGGAAATGAACACTAATGTTTATATTGTTGGGATTAAAAGATTGGTAAATGGGAAATTGAGGAATTAAAGTGAAGGGAAAGTGAGTTCTCTTTTACTTTGGAAAGAGCAAGTGTCCCTCATTGGTGGTGGAAAGAAAAATGAATATGCTTGTACTGAGAAAACACTTTCCTTTGTGTTAAATGGGTTGGAAAGAAAACACTTCCTTCGGATTCGGACAAACATTGATTGATTAATCTTTTTGGATAAATTTTCTTTTAATTATTTAATTAATTAACGAAAAGTCAATCTGGAATAACCCAGGACCCCCGACGCGACCCGATCTGTTTATTTTTCGGATTATTTTAAATTAATTTCCCGGAATATTTTAAATGGGAATCATTCCCACCTGTCCCAACGGTTATGGCTGTTTCTAAAAGATTGCAAACTTTTCAGAAAACAGTGCCAGAAAATAGCTATAAGTATGCCTTAATCCCAAAATCTTTCCTTAAGAAATTTTCTAAACTTCTTCTCCCTCTTCTGCACAATTAAATCTCAGTGTGGTTTACAGCCTTTAAGTGGTTCGTTGTTTCACCCGTATTTTTTGTACCGATACTCTAGTGAGTTAAATCGTTCTATCCTAGGAGGATAATATTCCAACACCTCGGATACTTGAGGAAAATAATTTCCTTAAGGACACATTGTACATTCAGTGAACTCGATTTTATTCTGAAATATATTTATTGATTCTCGTTTCTAATAATCTCCAGTTTCTGCCTATTTCTGTTTTTTCTTGTTTCTGTTTTATGTTATAAAATTTTACTGTTTTGTAATATTATATTATACTCCCTCCGTTCCAATTTATGTGAAGTTGTTTGATTGGGCACGAAGTTTAAGAAAAAATGAAGACTTTTAGAATTTGTGATCCTAAACAAGTCAAAAATGGGGTCAGGGTATTTGTGTGGTTATAAAAGCTTCTCATTAAGGGTAGAATTGTAAGTTTAATCAAAATTATTTCCAAATTTAGAAAGGGTTCATATCTTTTTGGAACGGATCAAAAATGAAATAGGTTCACATAAACTCGAACAAAGGTAGTAGTATTATAGATTACTAAAATATATTAGGATAAACTGCCTACATCATAACTCTTGGGGAGCGGCATTTTCATAAACATGAATGCGGGATGCTTTTGTGGATCATGATGCCCTTTTTTTTTTAGATATCAATGCAATTACCGCGGATTATTATTGTGGGTTGAATAAGAACTACGTATCTTTAATCACATGACTTGATTTCAAATTTTGAGAATGAAAAAATCATGATAACAAACGCTTTCACCCCTTATGAGTCTTATACGGCGTGAATCCGAATTATTCGGGTTTCACTGCGAATATTAGCCGCACATAGGAAAATAAAAACAAAAAATTCAATTACCTTTTAAAATTTGTGTAAGTACTACAAGCAATAATTTGTTATGGTTAAAGGAATCTAAAAAGAAGGTCAGAATCAAATTATTAATACAGAAAATCAGTTAAATTAATTATATAGTACTTACAAAATTAATTTAGGTTCTGGTGTAATATGAATGAGAATGTTTTGTGGAAACAATATAACCTTATTTTAACACGTAGCATGCATCTTACTTGTTTTTCTCATGCTTTCTCTCATACTTGATATATATATATATATATATATATATATATATATATATATATATAAAACACATTATCATTAGTTGACTTTAATTATAGATTCCGCGGTTAATGTATAAATATTTTTGTGCAAAAAAATTTACCTACACCGGATGTTAATAATACAATTTATTATGCTCAAACGTTAAATCAAAATGAAATTCCAAATTAATTAACTATAGTTAAATAATTTAAAGTTGATCAATTATCACATACCATGTATTAATTGGTTAATTAATCCCCCTTCTTTCTTTTTTTAATTCTTTATTTTCCCGCGATAGCATAATGTTGCGCAAAACACTCGACAACCAAAGATGTAGCACACCTTTTTTGAGAAATGATGATAGTCCAATTATCAAGAATTAATAACTGAATTAGAAATTAACTTGTATAATAAAACATACTAAATATAGAGTTATGTCAATTATAGTCATTTTAACATTCTGTAAATGTCAATGAAAATGTTAATTGCAATATAGTACATTAATGTTTTTTGCTTATTTAGGCAAGCAGAGTATTATTAATGTAATAGAATATCATTGCGAGTTGATGTCATATCATATTCTTATTATTGATAAATGGAGAAAGACTTTTATACTTGATCATAGAATACCGTGCATAAATTTACAATGATATCAACAAATAATGATAAAAAATAAAAAATAGCCAGATTTATAATTTGTAACTAAAAAATAGTCACAATTTTAAAAGTAATAGAAACTTAGCCACTTTTTATGCAAAGATAAAATCTAAACAAAAGTACTCTTAAAAATCCGAAAATATTCCAGCATAATATGTTGGAGTTCGAATTGTTTACATATGAGATTTTAGCATAATGTGCTGGAACTTTTCGAGTGCTGGAGTTCCAACATAATATGCTGGAAGTTTATATGCTAGAAGTTTATATGTATGAGTTCCATAATTCAACATATTATGCTAGAATTTTCCTTGTTTCAGCAAAATAATAGTATTTTTAGTGACTTTGCAAACGCTAACTACTTTTCAGTTATCAGTGTGAAAACTGGATAGCCCGTACTATTTTCACACAAATAATGAACTACAGTGTCACCAATTTATTTTAAAATGAATTCAATTATTAAGCTATATAGAAGTCTACGTGCTTTTGGAAGTTATTGCGTAATTGTAGCTACTAAAAAATAAAAAATTAATAAATCCACACACATTACATAAACTATTTGTAAGTAACTGTTGATTTTTAGACCAAAATGTTGTCGGCGACATAAAGGTTCTCCAATCCAATAAAAGTTATTGCGTAATTGATCTCTTTTCTCCCTTTATATCATCATCATCATCATTTCGTTCCCAGTAATTATGTTTATAGGTAAAATCGGGGCTAATGAGCAATGCGATTTTACGGTGGGGCAAACGAAGCAAGAACGTAATTACAGGGAATCGAAATCGAAATTGGGAGCCTCTCGTATCAAGGCCCGAACAAAATATCTGTCTTCGGAGCCATTGAGACCATGCCTCCTGGATTCAGTTCGAGCTCCAAGACCTCGAAAAGCATTACTAGACGTCCACACACGACGGGCCGTGATATCCGTGTCCGACCGGATGTCACGGCGTGGATCTCGACCCGTATCGGCAGCAGATTAGTGATTAACGAAAAAGAAGATTTTTACCTTTCTTAGAGTTATAATAGGGGTGGAACTCTTCTACTATATAAATGAGATAATTTTTATTCAAGAGGCATATTGTAACACACATACCAAGACAATATACATTTATTTTCCCTACTTCTAAAAGTTATTTAAAGTTTTTATTTTTGCTCATAGCTCTTCATAAGTGTTTGGCTCCGAACCGAAGGCTGGCAAATTGTTAAGCTCATAACCAAGTCGGACTCAATACTACTACTGGTTTGGCTGTTTGTTCTATCTTTAATTTGCTCATTTAACGTTATTAATCACTTTTATTGAATTAATCTACATATCCTTAAAACCGCGTATAAATTTAATTGTTATCCATTTTTAAGGAAAACATATATATTTATTTAATCCAAAAAAATCTTATTGAGTATCGGCCTCTGATATGGCTATGATTGAATGGATTACAATCCTTGAAGGATACGAAGAGAACGATAATTTCGCTAGAGAATATAATGAATGATTAATCTAAAGTGTTTTATGTAAATCTGATGTGTGTTGCAGGTGAACAGAGTAGGGTATTTATAACCTAGAAAGGATAATTCGGATCACGGTTCTTCTGCTCCCCATGTCGATCGCGGTTCTTGTGCTCCCAGAAACTTGACTTCTGTGCTCATACGCCTGGAGTCAATCTCACTACGTGTCAACATTTCACCGTGCCACGTGAGTTTTACCAATATAATATTGGAGTAACAGTAATATTGTCTCCGTGTTGACCTATAGGCAAGGGCGGATCCAGGACTTAGAGGTTCTGGGTGCCAAGCTAATCGATTTGATCAACTCGAGCGTCGGCTCAGGTTATTTATCTTTTTTATTTATATAGACACACGATCAAACGAAAAAAGTATAACAACTATAACTAATTGACGCAACCATAAAACTCCCAACAATAATATTAATATTATAAATATACATCATCTACTTACATTTGTGAATACATCACGCTATATGTAACAAACTAAACAATTATTTAAATATTGGCCACCCGTGCTATTCCATTCTTCATTCTTTATCTGCTTCATGGATGAGAATGCTCTCTCCACAGTTACGGTAACAACAGGTAAAATCAGAGTCAACTTCACAAGTAAATAAACATACGAATAAGTCTGTACAAGAATTTGCCTCAACCAATGCTTTTGACAAATCACTAATTTCTTGTAAGTTGGAGAACTTGGGATTACCAGCGAGCATATGAACTATAAAAGTATCAAGTTGATAACTCAAGTCTCGAATCTGTACCTCATCAAACTCATTTGGATAATATTTTGCTAAAGTCATTATTCTACCTTTATCAAAATTAGCAAAAGAATTGGCTGGATTCAAGCTAACCATCCCGAGAAGCAAATCGCTACTCACTACATCAAAACGGTTATTAAGCTCTTGAAGTTGCGCATCAATTACAACATAAAAGATATCAACACGCAAGTAGTGTGAATAACAAACACCGGAAGACTTGCGCTTCGACTTTCCAGGAAAATAAGATTCATCCATCTTGGGAATCAAAATGTCATGCATAACACAAAATGAGGAAATATTATTTAGTAAAGATTCCCATCCACTTTCTCTCATTTCTTGCAATCTTTTCTTTGTGATGTTAAGAAACTCTACGGCATTAACAATATCTTGATCCCTTTTTTGTAGGATCTTGTTCAACTCATTTGACATTGCCAAAACTTTCAACATCAAGTGAAACATACAAACAAATTTGAATGTTGTTATCTCACTCAAAAGATATTTTGCTTGATTTCTCTCATTTGAGGTGGAACCTTCATATTTAATCACTTCAAGCATACGAACAATAGATGGGAAAATAACAATAAAGTTATCTAATGTTTTGAAATGTGATTCCCAACGAGTGTCACCTGGTCTTTGAAGCCCGCGTTCTTGATTTAGTCCTCGCCCAATATGAACTTCACCGGACTCAAGTAGTTGCTCAAACTTTCCAGCTTGAAGATGTCGAAGCAAATCTCTGCGCTTAAAAGATCCTCCAATGACATTCAACACGTTAGTAACATGACAAAAGAAGTCTTCAACATCCAAATACTTTTTAGCAATATCTACAAGTGTTAATTGCAATTGATGTATAAAGCAATGAATATAATATGCCGATGAACTATCTTTCATAATCAAAGTCTTGAGACCACTTATCTCCCCACTCATGTTACTAGCTCCATCATAACCTTGTCCACATATTTGTGATGGACTTAGTGAGTGCTCCGAAAGCAAATAGTAGATTGCTTCTTTCAATGAGCATGTTGATGTATCACTAACATGGACAAGACCAACAAATCGCTCTACCATTTTACAATTTTTATCAACATAACGCAAAACAAGAGCCATTTGTTCTTTGTGTGAGATATCTTTGGACTCATCAACTAATATACCAAAGTAATCTCCATTCAAGTCTCTAATTATAGCCTTTATTATTTCTTTTGTACAAACATTGATAATATCCTTTTGGATCATAGGGCAAGTCAAAATATCATTTTGTGGAGCATTTTCTAATATGACTTTTTCCACATCCCGGATGCCTGTCCCCATGCCATTGTAAGAATCCTAGAAAGAGGCATAGATTAGTTGAAGTTTCACGTTCATCATGACCCCTATAAGGCAATACATACAACAATAGAAGTCTTGCCACATCAATTGATGCTTCTAAACGCATCCGATACTCGCTTTTCAACTTATCGGAGTACTCATAAAAAATAACTTGAATTGATTTATGATGATTTGATAAGTCTAGCATCTTCTTGAAATATTTATCATGGACACTATTAACATCACCAACATGTAAACGAAATCTTTCAAGACCCTTATTCCAAATTCTAAAATCATTCTTTGTATAGAATTCGCCCGCACTTTCTTGAATAAATTCTTTTTTGAATAAATAACAACATAAACAATATACCACATCTTTCTTCACACTATACTCCAGCCATTTAGAAAATTGGCCCTTGAACCAACTTGGAACAAATTGACACATTCTTTCTCCTATTTGAGTTTTAGGAAATTGATGCTCGAAAGGTTGGCAAGGACCTTGTTGAATGTAATGTTTCCTTACTTCATCTCGTATTCGAAGGTGATAGTCCGCGATAGGTATTCTTTCTCCTGGATTGCCTTTAAGTGACCCCAAATCGAGTTCATTTATAAGATGAGAAATATTGGCATTCGCTTGGCTCAAGGATTGACAACTAGGACTTGGTTGAGAATGGTCCAACCTCATGATAAATTTATCCATTGAATTCAGTTCCTATAAAATAAAAGCTCATTATAGTGAGAAAGCTTTCTATGTAGCTCACTATGAAATATAGAATAATTTCTACTACTTCATACCATCAATAAGCTTAGCCAATCAAAATTATTCAACTATCCTAGTATCCCTAATACTTTTTATTGTTAAAATGAAGTTAATTTTGAATTTTTCTTGGTAAAAAATATTGGGGATGTTCTTTCTCTTTTAGCCACGAAATTAATTTCTACAATGAAACCATTTAAGTGGCATAAGATTTTCAACAAAATCAAAGAAATACATAACAAATAAATCAAAAGTGACAATAAATTTTGCAAAAATATTAAAATCCAACTAAATAAAAAAAATAGAGCAAAAATATATATTTAATGGAGAAAAAAATAGCCACAGCCCACATAGATATAGGGTTAAGAAATAAATAAGAGGAAGTGAGGAAGCATTACAATGGTGATTGATGGCTGTAGAGTAGTGACTAGTGAACAAGCGTGCTTTGAAACAGCAAAAGAGAAGAATTGAAGAAGTGAGCGTGATAACCGGAAGCCAACGAACTAGACGAGCAAAGTGGGTGTTGGGGACTTAGGAATTGGGATTCCTTTTGCCGGAGACTAATTTTGGGAAAGGAAAAAGTGGCGGAAGGCTTTTAGGTTTTAGCTTTCTATGAATATTATTTTAATTGTAAAGCTTTTTATTATTATTATTATTTTATCTTATTAGTTAAAAGCCATACATGGATTCGAACTCATAATCATCAGAAGGAAAAGATGGACCTTTGCCAATGGCACCTTAGTCACTTTTGTTTTGTGGGTGACACTTTAAATATATATACTATTTCTTATATATATATATATNCCTATAGGTCACGAGTTCGAGCCGTGGAATCAGTCACTGATACTTGTATTAGGGTAGGTTTTCTGCATCACACCTCTTGGGGTGCGACTCTTTTCCGGACCCTGCGTGAACGCAGGATGCTTCTTGTACTGTGCAACCCTTTTTAGTATTGCTTTTTGCAATCAAATTAGGTCATGAGAATGTGGATGGAGTACTCTATGGACCACTAGTTCATATGCTATAAAAATGACAAAACTATAGGCTATAGGAGCTGTATGATATCCTTGTCAAACTTTAGGACGAAAGCAACCCCATAATTATCTTTGACTTAACACGTTGTATTAGACTTGGTAACTACCTTATCTATATTTTGATTTGATTATTTGGGAATTTCTTGTCTTACACGTATCTTAGTTATTTAAAGCGCAAACATATATAACAAGTGTAAATTAATCTAAGTGACACTAATATATAAATATAAAGAATAATTAATCTAAGCAACTATGTAATAAATCTCAGTTGCAGATACGCTCATTCGATACACTAAAATCAAACACCTAAATCTCCTATATAATGAATACTGGTAGTTGTACCCGCGCAATGCGCAGTCAATATTAAAAAATATTAATTAAATTAAATTGTGATCGGACTTGTTTGAACATATTAGATCATATTGATTTAATAAATTTTAATTGTCATCTTATTTGTCAATATGATATACCCAATAATAAAATATCTATTAAATTAAAGGGACTTATATAGTCATTGAATAATTTTTCTGCCACGCGATGCGCGGTCACTATTAAAAAATATTAATTAAATTAAATTATGATCGGGTTTGTTTGAACATATTAGATCGTATTGCTTTAATAAATTTTAATTGTCATCTTGTTTGTCAATATGATATACCAATAACAAAATCTCTATTAAATTAAAGGGACTTATATAGTCTTTGAATAACTTTTTTATTCTATATTTTTCTTTATTCTATCATCCAATGTTTAGTATTTTTACATTGTTAATAGAGATTTTTATTAGCATATTATTTTATTTAATATTTTTGTTTGCTCGCTTTCTTTTTGTAATATAAGAGAAAATATATATGTTTTAGTAATCTTGAAATATTTTTTTATTTTATATTAGCATATTATTTTATAATTTTGTCTACTTCTTGAAATATTTTTTTATTTAAAATTTTATCCTATTATTTTCAATAATATTATCTGAATTTTAATGAATAAAACCTCTATTAAATTAATGAGACTTATATAGGCATCGAATAATAGGCTTGTTCGGTATTTGTTTTTTATTATATTATCCAATATTTGATATTATTGAATTGTTAATAGAAACTTTAATTAGCATATTACTTTATTTAAATTTACTTTCTTTTTATAATATAATAGAAGATATATTATTTTATTTTATATTTTATTCTATTATTATCAATAATATTTTCTGAATAAATGAATTTTTAATTTTAAAAATAAAAACAAAAATTATTTTAAAAAAAAAAGAAATTTTGAATTGGTAGTTTTTTATTTTTTGTAATTTTAGTTTTTTATTTTAAAATGATTTTAAAACTGTGAGTTGAAATTACTCTCCAATTTGAATGGATAGATTTTTTTTTAAATTTCGTTTTTTATTATACAATATTTTATTTTATAGATATTTAAATTCATGAACAATAAGCAATAACTAATTATTAACTATTTATGCCATGTGGCTTTTTTCTAGGCTGCCACTTGGCTTAAGGAGAGGGCTTTTTCCTCTCCTTTTAATAATATATAGATTTTTTATTTTAAAATAATTTTAAAATTGTGACTTGAAATTACTCTCCAATTTGAATGGATATATTTTTTTACATTTTCGTTTTTTATTATATAATATTTTATTTTATATATATTTAAATTCATAAACAATAAGCAATAACTAATTATTAATTAAATAACTAATTATTAACTATTTATGTCATGTGACTTTTTTCTAGGCTGCCACTTGGCTTAAGGAGAGGGCTTTTTCCTCTCCTTTTAATAATATATAGATTTTTTATTTTAAAATAATTTTAAAACTGTGACTTGAAATTACTCTCCAATTTGAATGGATATATTTTTTTAATTTTCGTTTTTTATTATACAATATTTTATTTTATAGATATTTAAATTCATAAACAATAAGCAATAACTAATTATTAACTATTTATGTCATATGACTTTTTTCTAGGTTGCCACTTGGTTTAAGGAGATGATTTTTTCCTCTCCTTTTAATAATATATAGATATAGATTACTCTCCAATTTGAATGGATAGAATATTTTTGATTTTCGTTTTTTATTATATAATATTTTATTTTATAGATATTTAAATTCATAAACAATAAGCAATAACTAATTATTAACTATTTATGCCATGTGGCTTTTTTCTAGGCTGCCACTTGGCTTAAGGAGAGGGCTTTTTTCTCTCCTTTTAATAATATATAGATATAGATTACTCTCCAATTTGAATGGATAGAATATTTTTGATTTTCGTTTTTTATTATATAATATTTTATTTTATAGATATTTAAATTCATAAACAATAAGCAATAACTAATTATTAACTATTTATGCCATGTGGCTTTTTTCTAGGCTGCCACTTGGCTTAAGGAGAGGGCTTTTTTCTCTCCTTTTAATAATATATATAGATAGATTTTACACAATTGTTAACAGTTATCCTTGTATATTTAAAATCAAACACTTAAAACTCCACTTTTAATGGGAATCATATACAATATTTTGTGTCATGGGAGGTTTAAATGTTTGATTTTGAAATACAGATAATTTATCTGTAATTGATCAAATTTTTTTTTAGATGAAATAGAAAAAAGTTAAATTTTTTATTCTTTAACAAAAATGAGAAATTCAATATTTAGTAAATTTTGAGAGGAATTCAAAATAGAGTAGAAACAATATAGCTTTTTAAGTAATGTGCTTTCCAGTTAGAGAATTGGAATGTTAGATCGTTAATGTCGTTATGCGAAAAATAAAAACAGAAAAAGGATGGATCAGTATATAGTCGGTGTATAACCAATATATAGCAAGCGTATAGTGTATAATGTATACACACGGATTATACACTACATGTTGTGGGCTTTGTTGGGTTACTATGTGGTAAAATCTCCAAAAGAAAAGAAAGAAAAAAGAATATTTACACGAATAAAAGACCAGATTTACTATTTATTTTTTCTTGCCAATATACATAAATTATATGCTAATTATACAGAGTAAATATACACCAATAACAAATTCAGTGTGATCTCACAGGTGAAATATGTGGAGGATAGTGTGTATAGAGAGACTATTTTCGATAGAACATAAGCTAAACAAAAATATAGTTACAACATTATTGAAAAAAATACATATAATATATATCTGCCAACTATTTTTAATTTAAACGGCTGAATGAGTGACTATTTAGGTTAATTCT